TCCCTACCCTAAAGTTGTTTAAAAACTTGCCGCAGCTGAGTGAGGTGAAGTATTTGAAAAACAGTTCTCAGACTCGTACTTGGAAAAGGATAACGGATAAGTTTAATCTACTGTCCCTGAAGCTGACCGATCCCTAAAGTTGTTTAAAAACTTGCCGCAGCTGAGTGAGGTGAAGTATTTGAAAAACAGTTCTCAGACTCGTACTTGGAAATCATTAGGATAACGGAACAAAAGCCAAAACATCTGGTCAATGAAATTGATACTGTTGGTCATTTAAAGTGTGGTAAAAAAAAGGTACTTTGATTAGAGCACCGAGGAGCCACCAGACTCACTCGCTTAAAAAGCAGGAACAGAAAGCAACTTCACGGAACGCTTGTGTGAGCCACAGAAAAAAACAGACGATCCTCTAAAGCTGAAAATAGCACCGTAATTTCGTGCATGTAGCACGGACAGGTCCCTGAAAACGATGGTTTACGACAAAACTGATTTGAAAATGGGAAGCTGAGAAGACATCACAGGACGGACTGTCATCAGTATCATTATCAAAGACTTGAACATGAGTGCTCCGCTGTCGTGGAAATACTCAGCTTACTTCCATATATTCAATCTTCTAAAGTGAAGGAAGAATGAATGAGGATGGAGAATGATTCTAGTTTCTCTCAAGCATCTTAGTGCCCCCAAACCTTCAAACGTTCAGTTAGCCAGGGAGGAAAGTGGAAGTATGAATATTACGGGCAGTGCAGACGCCATTTCTTGAAACATCATTAGCTACGTACAGGCAGATCACGGAAGCCAGGTCGCACCGACAACACTCAAGCGCTCAGTAATCTTTTTGACACCTTGACACCGAGTCAAATGTTGTCTGTTGCCCTTTATGGGCCATTCGGAAGGATCTATGTGGGACAATACATGTTCTTGTAAACGACAATTCAGCAATGCATGGGACGCGGTCAAGCCAGCGCAGATGATGTTGCTGGATATTTCCCGACATATAACTACATATCCGTTTTTAATTATCTTGGCTTGAAGTTCTCGACGCCATCAAAAAAAAGCAACGCTTCTAAAAGACCAATAAAATGCTTCAGATCACCAATGCATGCAGTCCGTGGTTTGCAACCACAAAATGCAGCCGCTACTGTAGTCTTATACGCCGAACCCTTGAAGCTCAGCTCTTTGACACACAAGCGATGCACATTGGCAAACGTGGCTTGAGCCCCCAGAACCGTGTACAGCCTTCGGACACTTTCATCAGGCACCTAAATTTCCCACAGCATCCTATGGTTCCTCAAATGGAAGGGGCACATTAATGGACTACAGACTTTGAAGCATAACTGTATAAATTTGGGTTCGGGGCATATGCTGGAATTTGATTTTATGTTGACCGGTTTACATACCAGGGCTTGTGCTTTGACTTCGTCTTCACTCTCCGATATTAGGACACTGTCGTCCTCGTACTCCATGGCCAAAAGGCTTCCATCTGCTACAACTTGAATACCTGGATTTCGTAGACTCAGTATCATTGGTCTCAACAGTTCATAGAAAAAAGACGGCCACCGACATTGTATGGCTTGAAATTAGTGAAAGTCGGTAGGAGGCAGAAGATTAACGTGGGATTAGACCACTCTGACTGCGAAATCGAATGAACATGAACATCCTTACCGAATTCGTCTCAAAGAAACAACGTGGAATCTGGACCGTATCGAATGCAACCGATATGATTTCATCAGCGAAATACATGAAAGAAAAACGTCACTGTTACGTCTATCCGTTGATTTCATGAGGGTCTCCGGTTAGGCGAACAGTTGGGCAATGCATATCTTGCTGTGGGAGATTGGTTGTCAACCTTGTCAGATGTTTTACTCCTGGAATGAAGCCTAATTCTCGAGCTTGTGGAGCCACGCTAGTATGATTGTCTGAGTGTTGAAACAAAGCTGCTGCATATTGTATCAATTTATTCAGGTTGTACCTCATTGCATCATGCGAGAAGGAGTTTCGAAATTTGGTGAGTGATGGGTCTATTTGTTACCTGATCACCTGTACTATTGAAAATGGTTCCTAGCCAAACAGTGACCACATGACTCGGACATCTGTACATTGTTTTGGTACTAACGATTGTGCTCTATTGGCCATAATATTCGAATTGGCGGAACTGCAGAAATTTCACATCTGACCCCATCATTGCTGTCTGTCAACGTGAGTTTTCCTGAAACTGCCACTTTTATCACCCTTCTACCACGGATCATCAAAAGTACCCACCGATGTTATAGCGTATTACACGGATTTCGGCTACTCTGGCAGCACTCTAATCACCGACCAAACAAATGACAAAGCGTCGAACTGACAATTATGGAGGGCAGCCAGTGAATGTACAGAGCATCGGAATGAAACATTGACCTTCTTGGGGTAGACAAAGATATCTACACTTTTATAGTAGCGGAGCATGGACATCATACAGACGTTTTCATAGACCTCACCAGCTTTTTTATACGCAGTATCCGCAAGTGCATATACAATAAACGAACCGGATTTAGATTGAACTGGTTCTTTGGAATCCAAGATATTTCGGTTCATGACAAGCTGTGGCTCTTCCCTCATAGGGGCCGCCTATCTTCGGATCACATTTCCAGGCAACTTTAATAGGATAATAGAAATAGAATAATAGAATAATAGTGTTCGAGATTAACTAGAGCCAAAACGTTTTTATAGAGGCAGACTTTGGGTAAGTTCTAAAAGACTAACTTTGGTTTCACATTATGGGCCCGCCTGGCACTATAAATAATCACCTAGCAAAAGTCCACACGTGCAGGTGTGACACATTAGGAAAAACATATCGTCGTGATAGTCGAACGTGAACAGTTTATCCGTAGGTGACTTACGACGGAAGTGCCATCCCTGGTACCAGCAATCTTTCTGAGTTCCTCCACTTGCAAACAAATCCACACGAAATGAAAGCGACCTAAAGGAAATCAACTGCCCCGTGTTGTATTAGTCAGTGGTGCACGAGCAGCCTGAGTCAGCGACTCACTTTGCATCGTCCTGTGGCTGAAGTAACTGCGCTTTATTTGAGACACTTGCGCGGGTGAGGATTTTATCAAGTAGCACATGTTCAGGCTGCCGGTACAGTATCACTAGCGCAAGTTTTGTTGTACACGAGTACATTTTTGCCATTTAAATACCGGCGGAGTAATGAGTACTTCTGTTTATGTGAATGCCTTGTTCAGTTTCCCCATTTAAGATTGAAATACACCCGTCGTTTTTGTGTGATTCTGAAAAGTATCAAGAAACAAAACACTAGGAGGTTACTTTGTCAGATAAAGCATTCCTCATCATCCACACCCTTGATCTATGTATTTATACGTTAAGCTTCAACGGCCTGTATACTGGAACAAGCATCCTTTTCTCATATACTTGGCCTCGCAGAGAACCTGGCCAAATCTGGTGGTTTTTTTAATAGCAGAGTTTTTTTGACATTTGCTTTTGAGTGCTTGTAGGCCATTTTTTCCTCGCAATTCTTCGTTCGGTACTGCAGATCACTTTAAAAGTTAATTTTTGCGATCCCAAATATTTACTGAGACATTTGGGCCATAACGATTTGAACGATGTTTCACATTCATGTTGACGCGGTGCTATGCGTCTATTTGACTAACTGCTATCATTCGCACTGTTTTCCAACCCTTACGCAGCCGTGTTTCCCATTCCGGAACTCATGAAGAACCTGGAATCAAATTACGAGTATTGGATGAAAGCCAGTGCAGATCAGCCGCAAGTACCAGATAAAAAGCAGACTTGATCATTACCCGTGTGGCTGACCTGTCTGTGTACTATTGAAAAATCCTGTCTTTGTGTCCAGACCTAAGACCCTTTACCAGTTTGTGCCTTCGAATGCAACCACGGAGAAAACAAGAACTCTCAAGGTACTGTAATTAAACCGATGGTCTCAGAAAGGAACTTCATTCTCTCCAGTAGCCAACTGACTGGTGTCTCCATTGTCAAAATTTCAAGAGCACATTTGTCCATTTGATCCCCCCACTGTCTTGCACCATGTGGAGTGTTATTTTTTATATAAACTGCAAATTTCCTGGCTGTACATAGTCAAAGATGCCCAGCGTATATTTCCCCTCACGGGGGTGTTGAACATTTGATTCCATTTTGAATTTTCGGATGAACATTCTGCTGCTCCTTGCTCACGAAACCTCGCTGCACAAAACCTCTCATTCGTCTGTCCACTTCCTCACTGTTAGTTTTCTTGTATTTTACCAATGTGCGGTACAGCTGCAGTTATGTACAGCTTTTTTAGCTCGTTCCATTTCATTCCCCCGTTTCCTCGAGAACGCACATACACAGTGAACCAGAAGTAAAAGATCATGATCCCGGCCGAAATGTTTTATCCTGACTTACTCTTCCCGGAGTGAGAGATTCAAAGCCAATGGCTCTTGTGACACCACGGATTTGTCTACACGGAGTTTGTTGTCAAGCTACAGTGGACAAAACTCCGATAGGTCTTTCAGTTGGGATAAATAACTGCTTCCACCTCCAGATGTTCCAAAGGAGAAGTTCCTCAGTTAGGTGTTACATTTCCCTACCTAGTATTTTCAGGGGTAAGTTTTCATGAAACTTATAACAGAGTATCCGAAAAGCAGTACTCGTATGAAAGTAATCAATTGCCGAAGCTTGAAATCAATAACTAGACAGTAGTATCAAAGCTTTGAGCTTCGTGATGAGACAAACCATCCGTGACTAGATTTCCAAGTAATGGCACCCTGACGATTTATTCGTGAGTGTGAACATCACCTGCCGGATAGCATTGAGGGAGTACAGAATATTCTCTGTAGAAACATACTCCTACGTAATGCAGTCAAATGCAAGTTCCAGTATGTGGTGCGCCGAAGGGTAACCTCACATCCACCCGTGTGGACGTCAAAACCGGAAAACGTAATCATGCGGGGTGGAAATCCACTCTTCATCGCGAACTTGACAGGGTCGCCTTTAGTTAGAAAATACAAACATTCAGGACAAAACGCACTCCCTTACCGGCTAACGGCTATGCGAAGTCTGTGTACAATACACAACAAACACTCCGTCAGCCTGGAAACGCACAGATTCCCATTTTCTAGAAGGTTCACATTCAATCGACCAAATAAAGTCTGGATCAGTGTTCCCTCTCTTCTTCACTGTTCTACAAAGTACACTGCCCCATCGATAACTCCCCTTATTAAACACTGTAACACGGAAACAGGTACGATACCTTGGCTGAACGCTGTAAATTCTTTTGGTTCAAGATGGAATGCTTCCGTGTTCGTGATTTTATACAAATACACGGGCTCTCCAAGTCCCGTGTTAATCGGTCGAACTGTTTGTTTGCTACACGGGGCAGAGGATATGAAAGCTACCAAGCAAGAGTTACTCTCACTCGCAGAATCGCCAAGTCATGACAAGAAATTATTTGTCAGGAACCGGCCCAATAATGATCAGTCTGTTACTAATGTTCTGCAGAGGCGAGCGTACCGACGGGCACAAATGTGGTTTGCTGACTTTCAAGCCTAACGTCTTGCGGGCATTCATCGATAACGGGCATGTGATAACAGGTGTTACAATTGTGCTTGAAATGAGGCCGTTCGCACTTTCCCACAGCATACACTGAGATGTCCGGTTCCTGATTTGGCAGCTTGGGGAGCCCTGACGTGGGTCGACGCGTGTGCTTACTTACCATCAGCAGGTTATAAAGTGAAACTGTCAGGTTAGGCTCTTCTAACCCCTTTGTTTGTCGGACAATTGCAGTGAAAGTTTTCAAGTTCGTCCTGAGTCAAAGAAACATGTAACTGAAATACACGCTCCGTTGGAGGCATTCAAAGTGACCCTCAATGAGAAAATCTCATTCAGTGTTGTTGGTAGATAATACCATGCGTTACACTACTAGAGGATCCTTACGGGAAGCATCGCAGTCCTTTTTTGTAGAGTATTAACTCTGATGCACAGAGCCCCTGCGAATGGATACCAAGTGATGGGTTTCTCATTTTCGAGAAGCATTTCTCGCCTGATGAAACAAACACATTGTTTCCACAAACCATTGGATCCATCTGCCCCAGTGTGTGAGGTAGTCGTTTCCTCCACATCTAGCTGCCGGCCTGTTAATTCGCTTGACTTGTTTTTTTTTTGCTAATTATGGGCAACTTGCGCTCCCGAAGTAGTGCAGGCGGTTCATTATTACCATGCCGAGTGAAACGGATAAACGTGTCATACACCTGTCGTTCTGAACATGTTTTGAACACATCAACGGCTGATTGCGTTTCCGTAACATTTAATCTTAAATGACACAGTTTTACCGGAACAATCGGAAAGTGGAAAGCGATCGTTGGCCCTATGTACAGCCTCAATTCTTCCCGAGCAGACTTGTGACATTAGCAGAGACTTTACCTATGATGCCTTCACTGATTCTAGGCTTAGATATCATTCTGTCGGTTGGACCCAGGAATACACAAACACTGGGAATAAGTTGGTTCAGTTGTAGGCTCAATATTACAAATTATTGTTTTTGGGGGGCTGACCGCCAGGAATACAAAAGTATACTAAATTCCAAAACTAAGCTGGACGGCCTAACAGAGTTTAGCGTATCTGATGTTTGTGTAAGAGAAACGTTCCAAAAAATCTAAACACGCCCTGGACAAACCATTAGCCGACAGCACTAGGAGTATACTGGGGTGCAACTGACTTTTCTGTTCATACTTTTAGCCGTTTGGAGGTCTCCTTTAGGCTAAACCAGAAAGAATTATGAACTTTGCTGCAGTGACCTTTGCTGACCTTTGCAGTGAGGATTGCGAGAATGACTTGGGATTCCTCCCGGTAACATTGGCAGAGATGACGGAGTCAAAACTCAGTAGCATGGCTGACCTAGAGTAGATTCGGCATATACGGAAAACGGCAAATTATTACCACAGTTAAGTGCTGACAGCAAATTACAATTTTCATAGCGCCTGCCTGTATGACTCAAACCTGAATGCACGCTCTTTGATTTTCAAAGCAGAGTGATGGAAACGAAATTTGGCTAGCCTACGTAACAATAGAGCTATTAAATTACAGAGTATCACACTCCAAAACTTCACTTATCCTTGACTTTGGCAGACAAGAACAACCGTTTCATATTCAACACACAAAAGTAGCTTAGCACAGGTGGAAAGCAAGTCGACGCAGCCCAAAACTGTGGTCTCAAAATGTGTATCACGGAAACAAAATGTGGTGGGGGGTTGCAGTCCATATGGTTTTTGTCGACTTGTACAGGTTTCTTAGTTGAAGATTTCAATTTGTATCCCGAGAGCAAAGAGCGTTCTTTGGTTGTGTGACCTAATATAGAATGACGGTTATGGCGTTCCTGCAAGTGAACTGTTGTAGAGCATTGGTCCAAACCGAAGATTCTCCTAAAAATACTCTTAACCATCGCACCTGTTTCAGCATCATGAAACGACGATATCCATTTATCCCGAAATGAAATTGTGATCAAATGTGACCCATTGGAAGGGGTTTGAAGGATTCTCCGAGGCACTAAAGATTAACTTGTCTATCTTATTCACACCCTGGATCTGCTAAAAAGGTGCCGAGTGTAGAAACTTTTACTCACATTTTGTACAAGATTCGCCGTTTTTTACCACCTCTGTTACTGTCCACAAAGAGGCACACTCATTTAGATGTCATGATAGTTATTTATTCAGGTATACAGGAGAGTAAAGTCACTTTCTTCAAATTAAACTAAACCCATAATATGTGACAGTGGAATGATGTGTGCCGAAAAGTTGACGTCACGTCTGGTGCCAAAATCTGATTGCCCCATTCTGGTCTACCATCCCTTCACGGATCTCTTAGGCAGGGTATGAAAAACGCTCGTATTTCCGCGTACTTTCTGTGAAATTGCAAGTCGTGAATACGCACTTATCACGCTTTACCGTACTTGCAATATCACATGTGCGGAAAAAATCCAGAAGAAGCAAAACAACTGAAAGACAGAGGATCATTTATATAAACATTAGCTCACCGACAATTATCTCCGGACCTGTCAAAATGCGCAAGCGTCATCAAAGAGAATTCAAATAAGTTATATAAATTATGCAGAACAACTCAACGGTTGTCAGAACTCCTCTTCTGCCTCCACCCAGCTATTGAGACGCTGGTTCTAAGAAGTTGAGAGGGACATTATTTTCTGAGCAAATATTCAATACCAAAGTAAAACCGCTGTAAAACACGGACAAGCGCGTCCACTGGAACCCGGAATTCGAGTCAGCTCTGACATTTTACAAGCTTACAAGACCAAAATTATTGATCAATCTATGAATGAGTGCCGCGCCTCCTCCTAATGAGACGACCAGCGGAAAACTGCACAGCAGTTTGTCGTATCAAAGATTCATCACACACACGCACACATTCAAGCATAGGTGATATAGTTCCCTCCTATACATGTCCTCGCTATAGTTTACTAGTTGCGTGTTTACTGCTGTAATCTTGAACTGTCCACCAAAAGAACAACTACTGACAATGAAGATCCTTAGCTCTCTCTATCTTTTCAACGCTCTTATACGTCATGCAGATGAGCGGTGAAGTGTTCCCCGACCGAAAATAAGTGTGGTGTTGTTTTTACTACCAGTAACAAGCGTCCATGTGGTGAACATTGACTCTATTCTATTCATTCTGTTTAGTGTATTTTTATATGCCTTTGTTTTACGATGCGATATATAGTACGCCCGCGATATACGAAAATATACGATATTCATTCGTCCATATTCGGACTTCTATACTTCTCGTACATTCGGTAGTTACGATACCTACCACTATTCTAATTATCACATTTGGCGTCGCGGTCCGGAATTTTTTTCTCTTCATCACAATGTTATCTGAATTGGAATCGCTCAGTGTAAATTCAACTGCACGGGAGGTGGAGGATTATTTGGAACGCTTCAGCATTTGGTGTCTTACCAAATCGGATCTGGATGATAAAAAGAAGACAGCTTATTTCCTGCACTACATTGGGAAGGATGCTTATGCTCTTGTGAAGAATTTATCATTCCCTACGGCGCCGATCGATTGCACATTCGATGTTCTAAAGAAGTTAATTCTCAGTCATTTTAAGCCTATCAATTTTGTGGCCGCAGAACGAGCGAAATTCAATTCGCTTATTCGATCCGAATCTCAGAGTATTCGTGATTTTGTCCTCCAACTGCAAACACAGGCTGCAAAATGTGACTACGGCCAACAACTTGAAAGCCAACTGAGTGATCGCCTCATTGCCGGAATTAATCTTCCAGATCTACAACAAAAGCTCCTAGTACAGACTGATCAACGCTTCATATCGATCAGAAAAATTTGCGAGCAATACCAGGATGTTAAA